GCTTCTTTTCTCTAGCGGCTTTCAGTATATTATTCTTGTGCTGAATTTCTTGAATCTTGACTATTATATGTCTCGGTGTGTTTTTCATTGGGTTGAGGTTACTTTGCGTTCTGTATGCTTCGGTTACCTGAATGTCAGATTGTTTCCTCATATTTGGGAAGTTTTCTGCTATTACTTCTGCCCTTATTTTTTTAACGTCATTTGTATTGACTCCTTCTTTCTCATTGATGCCTGTTAGTCTCACTTTGTTCATCTCTGCATCGTCTTGCAGGTGATGGATTATTTTTTCCTGCATCCTAGTTGTTTTAAGAGAGCCTTTCTTACCTTTTCACTAGCTGCACCAGCGTCTTCAAGATCTGAAGCTCTTGTCTTCACTTTCACTTAAACAGTTTTGCAAGCTCGTGATTGAGATTTTAAATTCCTTTATATCTCTTTGACTCTGCTTCATGCGATCTATTTCTTTCCTGTATTGCTCATTCAAGGAATCTGTCATTTTTCTCATCTCTATTTTTTTAATCAATGTCTTCTTTAGAAGCAGTTATTAATTCTTTTACTGCAGTGTTTGTTTTATTATTTTTTAAAATTATTTATTTATTTTTCTCTGTGTGTGTGTGTGTGTGTGTGTGGCCAGCTCAGCCCACCGGGGGCGGGGCTGGCTGGCATGTGGTGCTGGGGGGTTGAACCGCGGTCCCTGTGCTTTAGCTAAGCTTGTTTTAAGTAGGTGCTTTAGACCACTGAGCCATCTCACCAGCCCCTGCAGTGTTTGTTTTAGATTGGGTTTCCTCCCTATGTTTCTTTAGTTTATTCTTTACTTCAGATGCTATGAGTTCAGAGAATTCTTTTTTTATTTCAGAAAAGAATTGCGCTCTGAGTTCCTCTATGACTTTCTGATGTTGCTTATTTACTATCGATGCTATTAATTCATGCATTTGAGCTGAGCTAGTATCCTCTGCACTTGTTCTGGGTGGGCATTGGGTTTCCTCCATATGTTTCTGCATTTGATTCTTTGCTGCAGATGCTATTAATTCAGGGAATTCTTTTTTCATTTCCAGTCTGAGTTCCTCTATATCTTTCTGCAGTTGTTTCTTTATTTCAGAAGCCATTGATTCATTGATTTCAGCTGTGTGATTCCCAATTTGTTCTGTGTTAGTGTCCTTTGCACTTGTTATGGGTGGGCTTGGGGTCTGAGATTGCATTTTGCTCCTTCTCATTGTCATTTTGTGTAGCCCTGCCGTCTGACCTTTGTTGTAGAGCTTTGGTGCAGTTATAACCTTAGCACCTACTGAAGTTCAGGTGCAAATCTACAAAGTTTGGATTTATACAGCTGTGCCTGGCTTGGGTCTGGCTTCTGTGTTCAGCTCCTTCCTGCTGCCACCCTTGGGAGTGAACCTGTTGTGCCCCTCTGGAAAGATATTCTGCTCCTGGACTAGCTGGGTGGTTCTGTCCCCTACTCTCTCTGCATGGATTGCAGCTGCAGGGTTTTACCCCAGGCCTGTATGCTAGGCCTGAGCTGAGTCTGAAGGGGACAAGGTAGAGTAGGGGAAGAGGAAGCTCTCCCACACAATCACTTGGCCTGGGCTAGGACTGGATCTGGGGTTCCCCAGAATGTGGCTGAAATTCTCACTGGGTGGGCAGGGTGGGGTGGGGTGCTGCGGAGTGGTGGTGGTGGGTCCCAAGGGGGTGGAAGAGGGTCTCACCCCACTGCACCTGGGCTTGGACCGGCAGGTCCCGCAGATGCAGGGTAACCGGAATCTCTCCCACACACTCACCAGGCCTGGGCTAGGACTGGATCTGGGGGTCCCTAGCAGAAATTCTCACACGGCGGGCGGGGGGGGTGCTGCTGAGTGGTGGGGGGCGTCCCAAGGGTGGAAGAGGGTCTCACCCACGCTGCGCCTGGGCTGGAACCGGCAGGTCCCGCTGGCACAGGGTAGCAGGAAGCTCTCCCACACACTCACCGGGCCTGAGCTAGGACTGGATCTGGGGGTCCCTAGAATGTGGCAGAAATTCTCACGGGGGGGGAGGTGCTGCGGAGTGGTGGGGGCGTCCCAAGGGGGTGGAAGAGGGTCTTATGCTGCACCTGGGCTTGGACCGGCAAGTCCCGCTGGCTCAGGGTAGCCAGAACCGTTTTTTGTTTGTCTGTTTTGGTCTGGTTCACTTGTCTGATTGGAAGAAGGAGGTTATCAGAGTCTCCCACTGTGATTGTGTTGGTGTCTCTCTGGCCTTTTAAGTCCAGTAGTTTTGTTTGAAGTTGGTACATCAACATTGAATGCGTAGATATTTGCCATTGTTTTCTCTTCTTGTTGAGTTGTTCCCTTAACGAGTATGTAGCCATTCTTATCTCCTCTGGCCACCTTTGGCTTAAAATGTGCTGAGTCTGAAAATAAAGACTCCTGTTTTCAGGCTCCAGATGAAGGCATGTCATTTCCAATCCTTTACTTCAGTCGGTGGCCTTCTTTTTGGGTGAGTTCTGTCTCCTGGTTGTAATGTATGGCTGCGTGTTGTTCTTTGATGCTGTCCTCCAGTCTGAGTCTTTTGACTGGGGAGTTGAGACCGTTGACATTGAATTGCTGTAAGGTGTTTATTGATTCTTCAATGCAGTTGCTTTCGCAGTGCTTAGACCTTATGAAGCCCTTGAGTTCCATCCCCAGGTCCACATACATAAATATATAAATATAAAAACATAGGTTTTATTCAGTCTGGGGATCAAATCTAGGGCCTCGTCCATACTAAGCGTGGACTCTACTGCTGAGCTAGGCTCCCAGCCCTGTGTGTGGGTGTTCCTCTTAGTGTCTCTCTGAAGTACGTACTGAGCAGTAGCTCTCCTGGGTTGTATGCAGGCTCACCCACCTATTCCATCATCGATGCCTAAAGCTCTTAGCACTGAGCCCATGGAGTTGTCATAAAACAGCATTTATCTCCATCTCCATCTTCATCACAGCATTAATGACACTTCGGAAGTGCTGGGTGCTCTTCCAAACACTGTACGTGTGTGGAACCTGTCATTCACACTGCTGGGCGAGGAACATGTTGTTATTTTCATTTTACAGAGGGAGGTGGAAGCTGAGAAACTTGGAGGCACTGGCCGGGTTTGTGACTTAGCTGTCTAGGGTCAGCCTGGTGCCAGGCTCTTTCTCACCCCTGGAACTTTGTGTTGTTGAGGGAGCCGCCGTCCTTAGCAGTGAGCACCTTCCTCCTGGGCACACACGCTGCGCTGGCTCTCAGGCACATCTTGAGGAGGAGCTGGACAGTGGGGACCCTGAGGTATCAGGAGACTTGAGAATTGACACGTAGCTGGCCACCACCCCAGGGGCTGGAGGAGGTGGAGTCCTGGCAGGGTTAGGGATGGCTCCTTGTCTCCAGTGAACACTAAGCTTAGGGCCAGGGAGACTGCACCTGAGATTGGCTGTGGGCTTGGAGTCCCTGGGTTGTTTCCGACTCTTGATTTCCCAACTTTGCAGCCCAGCGAGGCACAGAAAGCACAGGCCAAGGCCCTGGGGCTGTCTGAAGCCCAGCCAGCAGCAGTAGTGCAGTTGGTCCCCAGAGAACCCTCAGGGCCCATCTATGCCTTCTCCATCAGAAGTCCCTCATCTGGAGAGGTAAGGTCCATTGGTTGTGCCTCCCTCCCCCAGGCCCAGCTCCACCCATGCAGGGAGCGGTGGGGAAGACTCCTGGCTGTTATTGGCTCCTCGTGAGGAAGGGTCTGCTTGATACTCAGTCAGCCCTGTCCCTTGCTCTTAGCTACACCGTCAGGAAGCTGAGCATGAGCGGCTTCAGCCCAACTAGCCACTGAGACCCCAGGGCCCTCAGAGGCTGGCAGGGGCTGGCAGCCTGCACCAGGACCAAGGTGCATGGTAGCCTGGGAGACTTCCTGTATGCACGAGGCATGATTTGAATGGCAGAGAGCAGAGGAGAGGGCACAGTGACAGAGGGAGGTGGAACTGAGATAGGACCACAGCACTGAGCATGGTAGCACAAGCCTGTGATCTTAGCTACTCAAGAGGCCGAGGCAAGAGTATCACACATTTTAGCCCAGGCTGGGCAGCACTATCAAGACCGAGTCTCAAAATTAAAAATAAAAAGGACTGAGGATGCCGCTTCATGACAGAGTGCTTGCTGGTATGCAGAGTCCTGGGTTCAATCCCTAGTACTGAAAAAATAAAAATAAAAGAAAATGTGGCTACAGGCACCTGCTAGCCAGTCTGGTTCTCTGACCACCAACCCTCAAGAGACCTGACCCAGCTCTGTGACTCCCTACCACGCAGGTCTCCAATGAACCTTCCCCTAAGAAGAGAAAGTCCTGCCAGACCCAGTGCTCCAGGAAGGTCATCAAGTTGGAGTCGGAGGAGGACAAGGAGTTGCCCTTGGATCCCAGCCCCAGCGAGCAGCCCAGGCCCAGCACCTCCAGGGCAGTCTCGCCCCCGCACCTGGACAGGCCTGCCCAGCCTGAGAGCCCCAGTGAGGGAAAAGAGGTCTTGCAGCCCAACAACACCCAAGTGACCAGCGTTGCTGCAGAGGCAGGTAGGGTGGGGGTGGGGTGGCAGTGGTAGAGGGAGGCCCCCTCTGCATTCTGATCTCCAGGGAGCCCAGATCCCACAGGGTCTCCCTGTGTGTCCTACACTGAACCACCACAGAACAGGGAGGGCCAGCCCACAACCTGCCCAAGGGTGGGAGTCCCATATGCCTTGCTCAGTTCCAGCTTGGGAACTCTGAGGTCTGGGTCAGATTATTCCTTAAGTCCTTTCCCCCACTCACTTCAGCACCCAACCCAGGCCCCTCTACACAGGCGGTTGCAGTACGGGAAATGCTTATTGGCGAGCATCCAGCACTCCCAGAGAAGGCTGGGTGAAGTCTACTTGCACGTTTCCCCTGTTCTGCAAACGCCACCCACCTAGGTGTCTCCTTTGTTCCCATTAGTATCTTTTATGAATCCTACTAGACAGGGAGACTGAGTCCCCAGGAAGGTGTCGAGGTCAACCCCAGTATTGTGCAACTAGAGGGCCTGCAGAGGTTCCCGATGGAGCCCCTACCCTGGTCACGCAAGCTGCCCTGCCTGCTGTTCCTTGAGATCGGAGCAAATCAAAGTTCATCTCTAGGGTTGCAAAATGTTGCGGCCAGGGGTGGTGCTGCATACCTGCATCCCAGTACTTTGGGAGGCTGAGGCAGTAGTTATCACGAGTTGGAGCCCAACCTGGGCAACTTAGGGATTTAGCGAGATCCTGTCTCAAAATAGAAGAAAATAAGGGTTGAGTTTAGTTCCAGAAAAGTTCCAAATCCAGGATGGTTGTCAGGTTGTTTGTATAGGGAGAAAATTCTAAACTGATGGCCAGTAGCTTAAATAAATATAAACAGATGAGGCCCAACTGAAAATGATAGAAATCCATTTGTGAAAAACCCAAACTCAGAGCAGGTCCACTGGCACACACAGCACACGTTCTCGTTGCCCCTGGCAGAACACTGTCGCCCCCAGCCCACTGGACCCCACACCCTGACCCATGACCCCCTGGCCCCAGCTAACACGTTCTCCATCCAGGTGTGCAGCCAGATGGGCCTAATGCTGCACCTGCTCCCATTCCAGATGAGCCCATCGTGGTGATCAGCAGCTCAGAAGACTCCGATGCTGAGAACTTGGTGAGTTGCCCAGGAGGCCAGCCCAGGACTCCTGCTGCCCCCGTTCCAGGTCCCAGGGGCCACACTCACCATGGGTGACTCTCAAACTTGCCTTGCACAGGGGAGGGTGGAATTTTCCAGCTAGACGGCGAGACTTAATGTATCCCAAAAAGTCTCCGCAAGTGCTAGCCACATGCCTTGAGCACCCTGCCCTCTTTCCCATGCCAGGTTGGGCACCTTAGTGGCCAGATGGCTCTTCCAAGATGCCCAGTAGCATGATTCCTTCCAGATCCCACTGTCCTCTGCAATGTCCTAGGCCTTTGCAACTTCCTCATGCATTTCCTGTTCCCCAAATCCTCCATGAGGAGGGTTGGATGAGCATCTGTCCCCTGCCTGTCCCAGGCAGTGAGGACTGTTGGGGGAAAAGATGTGAGCTCACAGGAGCCAGTCTAGCAAGTTTTTGTCTCTATGTAAGGAAAAAAAACAAAACAAACAAGCAAACAAAAAACAACCTTTAAAGCCATTTTGTAGCTTCGTGGCTAGTGACCTATCTGTCATTGGCAGTGTTACCCGAGGCTGGGCTGTCTCCTGTCCAGGGCAAGGGACGGGGTAGAGCGAAAGGCTGGACTGGTGGCCCAAGGTTGCTTCCAGCACTCAGGCTGAGGTTCTGTGTTGGAAGTGCCTGGAGCCACCGGAGACCACCAAGCCACCCTCCTCGCCAGCCTCTTCCCTGCTGCAGAGAGCACAAGGGGCCTCCCATCAGCCCCCAGCCACATGCTGCTCCCCAGCTTGGCCTCCCCAGCATCCTGTCCAGCCTGCTGCAGCCCCCAGCACCAAGTGTCCCCGCCAGCCTCATGACTACCAGAAGCTCGCTACCATCCTTCGAGGGATCCACAAGCGCTTGCACAGGGCCCAGAGAGCCATCAGCGTTCACCGCATCCTCCGCCACTATCAGACCACTATACAACAGACTCTGTCGCCCCCCATGGCCCAGGCTACCATCCCTGTCACCACAGTGCCTCCCAGGTGTCCGCACAACACCCAGGAGCTTGCTAGCCGCCTGCGAGAGATCTTCAACCTGCCCTACAGACTCAGGACAGCGTCATCCTGCAGCTGTGCCCTCCAGGGACCCTCCCAGTAGGCCCAGCAGCTCAACAGGGTTTTTTCCCTCCTCTCCTTCACAGCCTCCCATCGTAATGTCTTTTCCACCAGGAGACACAGGAGGGCTCAGCACTCCCAGCTCTAGGGGTAGGGGCTCCCCCAGGGGATTTGGATTACAGGTCCCCGCCCCACGGATGCCCCTCCAGTTGCATCTCCACCATCGCACAAACCCAAGAGACCCCTCAACCCTGGCCAGGCTCCCCAGAGCCAGGCCTGTGAGAGCCCCAAGAGCCTCCTCTCTCTATAGCTGTTACCCCCACCTTGCAGCCAGACCCCCTGCCCTGGGACCCAGCCATGGGGACCTTGGCCATGGCTGAAGTTCAGGTCACCCTTCTCACAGGCCTCTTTGCCCAAGAAGGGGTCTTCTCTCACCCTCTGTTGCCTTCCCAGCACCCAGCTCCTCCTAAGCCTTTCCCTGGGCCTCTTACAGGACACCAGCCCATGCAGCTGTCCTAAGCCCCAGCATATGGCGCCACCCAATAAACACTTGCTGAATGATCACTGTTGTGAGCCCTTATTCCACAGCCAGCAGGCTGCACTGAGGCTCAGTTTCCCTTGGGGACTCTGGTCCTCACTTCCTCCCACACATCAGAGGTGGGGGGTGGGCATCAGACCTCCAGCTCTCAGGGATCTCCTCAATCCTTGTCTATCTCAGGGGTCCATCCACCTCCCTTTAAAGCAGGCAGATGTGAGCGTAGCCTCCTCACTTGGTCCTGCCCTCCTCCCGAGTGACATCAACATCACCTTCATGACCTCTGCTCTTTGACTTTCCAAGATCACCATCCTATCCCACATTAGCCACCAGTCCTATGGCTACCCACACCTCACCACCACATCTGCCCATCTCTGAACCAGATTCAGCACTGCTTCCTGTACCTGAAGCGTTTGGCTCTGTGTCATCTCCCCCAGCAGTCAACCCCTCCCCGTTCGGGTCATTCATAACCAAGCTCTCTGCTCCCTGCCCACCAGGCTTATGGTTAGGCAGAGACAGCCCAGGAGGGACTCAGAAGCCCGCTGCCTACCAGCTGCCCCCTGGAGGCCAGATCTGTCGAGGAAAAGCCACCAGGAAGACACCTGCAAAGGACAACCTATAGCCTCCAAGGAGCTTTGCTACCCTGACGCCACTCCTTGTGCTATGCGATGCTCCCTGGGTCTCATCAGCCCCTCGCTCTCTGCTGGTGATTGTACCATCTGTTGCAGGGAGAAGACAAGAGCCCCTAGTGGCTTGGGATTGTGGACACTTTGCTGCCTGATTTTGGATTCACCTGTCCCCATCCAACCCTTCTCCTGTCCTCAGCATTAGGTAGAAGGGCCGTCAGCCTGCCCCTGGCAGCCAGCCTTGTGACTCGACACCCTCACTCTGGCACTCTGTCTTCACAGCTTCTGCATCTTCTAGAGCTTATGCTTCCTTCTCAACATCCTGAAAGGTGTCTCCATCTCTACCCACTGAGCACAGTGCCCCATTTAGTCCTGGGTGGCCTTGGCCACACTCTGGGTCCCTCTCCCAGACTTCTACCACTGGTCCTGACCCTGTATTTTCTCTGGTCCCTGGGATCTCCTTGCCCCAGCTGTACCCTCACTGCCTGCTACTGCCTGCCTGACTAGTACGGCTGTGGCTTTTCCACAGCTCCAGGTACCTCAACCCCAGCCTCTCTTCCTCCAAGAATGGCTGAACCATCCACATGATTACACAGGCTGAGCCCTTAGCGCCCATTGTTTTCCTGTTCCCCACGTGTAGCCCCGTATCCTCTACTACCTGCCCACTCTCCATCCTTTGATCATGAGAAAGCTAAAGCTGTCACTGACTGGGGAAGGAAAGGTGGAGAAAAGACAGGTGCCCGGAGCCGCATCAGACATCAGGAGGGTGGTGCTGAAGAGTAGGGTGGGGCCATGGGGCGAAAGAGGGACACGTCCAATCTCCAGCTGTCAGCAAGGAGTCTGGAAGGGATGTAGGGTTAATCACAGGACAGGATGGGTGTGTTTCAGTTTATGGAAAGGTACACAGCTAGAAGGTGGCACTCACTTTGGAGAATAGACTCGGTGGGAGAGAGCAGAGCCCGCTGCTTCTGTGTGTATTCATTAGAGGTGACAGTGAACAATTAACCATCACCAGAATCCCAGGCCTTCAAATAGACTTTTTTAAGTAGTTGGGTCCCCCTGTTACACTGCTCCCTGACTTTCTGAGTCCCTTCACACCGATGGTCACCTTACGGTGCCCACGGTATTCCTGCTGCGAATTCCCACTTCCATGCTGGGGAATGGGATATTCCAGGCCATCTGGTCCCACATGCTCCCTGCCCATGGCCTTTGTTAAGCCTCAGTCAAGAGCTAGTAGAAGGCTGGTCTGCTCAAGCGGCACCTCTTCTGTGTGGTCCAGGGCTTGGAAGGACCATTGCATGGACTTCCTCTGCATCTGTGCTGTCTCTGTTGGGAGCTCAGGCAGACTTAGAGCAAGGAAGTAGCTGTTTGGCACAGCAGTAGCCAGGGTGGAGGGTGAGACTCGGGCCTGCTTTGGGAGTCCCTGGGGTGTGGACTGTGCTAACCATGTGACATGCAGGGGATGTCAGCTCCGCCTCCAGCAGGACCTGTCAGGATCCACAGCTGAAGGAGATGGGTGCCCTCACCCACTTTTGTGACAGATGCCCAGTTCCAGAGCCTTAGCAGCAGCAGCAGGACCAAATGGAAGTAGGAGAGGGCCTCACCAGGATGGCAGTGGTGACCAGCCAAGGAAGGAGGCCCATGGGAGCAGCTGGTCCTAGAGGTCCATGGCACTGGTGAATATGCATATATTCATATGCACTGGTGAATATACATATATTCATATGCACTGATGAATATGCATATCAGAAAGAGTTGGAGTGCTTGGTAGGGAAGGTGGGGCACAGTGTCATCTGCAAGTGGCCATGGAGGGCATGGGCTAGCACCAACCCATGTGACCTATCTGCTGGGCCTTTGTGACATTGCAGGAGCTGGAAGTTTGTGGCTGCAAGAACCAGAAATGTGTGTGTCGTGTTCGCTGAGGCCTGGGCACTGAAGGGCTCTTTTTTAAATTATTTATTTATTTAGTGTGTGTGTGTGTGTGTGTGTGTGTGGCCAGCTCAGCCCACCAGGGGGCGCAGCTGGCTGGCATGTGGTGCTGGGGGATCGAACCGCGGTCCCTGTGCTTTGCCAAGCTTGTTCCAAGTAGGTGCTTTAGACCACTGAGCCATCTCTCCAGCCCCTGAAGGGCTCTTAGGAACTTGGGGACTCACTGCATGTCACTGTCACCAGGAGGTGGATGCTGACCAACAAGAGGTCTGATTGGCCAATGCCCAAATATGGGAACTAATCCACAGGGAAAACAATGATCCCCAAGGCTGCCTAGGCACTGGGGAGTTTTAGCACTTATGCATTCATGGGTCCCACACCAGGAGATTCTGATTTGGGTGGCCTGTGATGCAGTCTCGGCTTCCAGCGTTTTTTTTTTTTTTTTTTTTTTTTTTTGTTTTGTTTTGTTTTGTTTTTATGACTGCTACTAATGTCCAGTTACGTGGATGAGGCTTGAGTGGAGGTGATGTTACCTACAAGGTGTGATACAGCAAGGGACAACAGCTCCACCTCCAAGGCTTTGGGAAGCTGGCTGCACTGCCAGCTAGCACTTTCTGCATGCCTGCCTGAGGCCACTGTCAGGTGTGCACTGTCAAGCTCAGTGCACACTGATGTGTCTGGCTCAGGCCGGGGGGGTCTCTGATGGAAATGAGTGAGGTGGACACAGCCGGTCAGCCTGATGGAGTGTGTGTTCCTAGTCACATACGTCCTGGATCCCATGTGGCTGTCAGTTTGCATTCAGAGAAGCCCAACCTAGGGACTCAGTCTAACGGACTGGGCATTCCTGTGGCCTCTTTCAGAGACTATCAAAGAGGACTCAGGGACTGGTGAGATAGCTCAGTAGAATAAGTGCCTGCCTGGCAAGCGCAGGGTCCTGAGTTCAATCACCAGTACCACAAAAAAAGAAAAAAGAGGACTCGGCTCAGAACCCACACAAGCACTTTGTCAATTCCAAGCTGTTGCCCCCTCCACCATGTTGAGTTCTCAGTGTTTCTCACTCCATTGATTCTCAGACTTTTTTTTCCTGTTTCCTCTCCTGGCCTCACCTATTGGCCTCCATCTTTCCACACTGATTGCCTTCTTCCCTTTCTCGGTCCATCTAGTCATATCTCAGCCTTGTCCTCATCTCTCCTCTACTCCCCTCCCCCATGCCCAGCCATCCTAATCCATAAAATAAAGCTGGGCCTGAGGTGGGACCAGAGTCCCTACCTACTCCTCTCCCTTCTGGTAGCCCTGGCCTTTTAGAAGAGTCTTGCTTCAGTGTCCTTCGATTACCCGACTATATCTCTGGAACTCAAGGGGAGAGGGAATTGTGGGTTTGCAGCTGCCTGGACTAAATGTAAGGTGTTTGGTAATCTAACCACAGGGGTGACCATCCCTATGGCAGTCCCCACAGGCAAGAGGATGAAGAGGTGTCAGGCTGTGAGATCCCACCCTTGCTTAGGAAAGAGGTGTCCCTGTCCATGAGGAGCCCCCATGGTACCCTTAGGGAAGGAAGACTCAGCTCCACGGCCCCATGGGAGGCTGTAAAATGTAGGCTCTGATGGTTGTCCTGTATGTGACCTGGGGAAAAGATGGGGGACATGGCTCTCAAGATTTATATCTAGGGGGCTGGAGAGATGGCTCAGTGGTCTAAAGCACCTACTTGAAACAAGCTTGGCAAATCACAGGGACCGCGGTTCGATCCCCAGCACCACATGCCAGCCAGACCTGCCCCCTGGTGGGCTGAGCTGGCCACACACACACACAATAAATAAATGTAATAAATAAAAATAAATAAATATTTAAAAAAAAAAAAAAAAAAAAAAAAAAAAAAAAAAAAAAAAAAAAAAAAAAAAGATTTATATCTAGGGCCCAGGGAGATGGCTCAGTGGAATAAGCGCTTCCCTGGCAAGAGCAGGGCCTGAGTTCAATCCCCGTTTCCACCAAAAAAAAAGATTTATACTGGACACCTCCCACACACAAACCTCATGTACTTGGGTAGGGTTTGAGGGGTTCATTGGGTATGGATTTGTGATACTCACAGGTGAATTAGTTCAATAAGTTCAGAGCTGACTTGCTGTTAGGAGGCTGAGTGCTTAGAAGATGTCACTGGAGGCGCAGCCCAGAAGGGTTTCTCCCCCTCCCCAGCTGTTCCCTTCTCCCTGTTTCCTTGCTTCCCTGCCATGGGCTGCTCTCCTGCGCCATGCTGCCCTGCCTTGAGGCCAGCTCACTGTGGACTGAAACCTCTACAAACTGAGCCAAAATAAACCTCTCTTCCTTTAAGGCGTGGGTGTTGGGTATTGTGTCTCAGCAGGGAGAAAATGACTTAGGACAGTGGCCTAGAGTTGTAGCCGCCCTGCCCTCTGGGGAACTTTGCTCTTGGAAATGCAGGTCTAAGGCTAGGAAGAAGGCTCTAGGACCTGCAGGGGCACTTCCGTATGGAAAGAGCCTGGAGGATGCACTGAGGACCCCGAAGGCGCTTTCATGTTTGGAACAGAAAGAAGAAGGAAGAGAAAGCCCAGTGTGCCATGTTGGTGGGCAGAAGGATGAGCTGTGGCCCACGGAGAGGGGGCCCAGCTATTGGCAAGAGAGAGCTGGGGCCTGGGAGGACACAGCAGGGAGCCCAGCCCATCCATGGCTCAAGCATTGGAGCACCCAGAAGGCTAGAGATGGAAGACAGCTCCAGGGAAGAGGTCGGAGGCCGTGGTGCTGCTGTCAGCAACCAGCAAGATGCCTCAGGGAGGCTTTCTGGGGAGAAGACGCTTTGGGCAAGATGGAAAACCAGCCTGGAAGGAGTGGGGCAGTCAACAAATCCTGCCCTAGACGGATCTGTCCTTGATGTCTGATCGTATCAGTTGGTGAGCCTGACATAGGCCCAGAAATGCCAATGGAGCCAGCCTAAGCCTCCCCTCTGAACCTGCCTGTGGGCTGTGGTGACTTCCTCTTGGCTGAAGATTTGTGGAAAACACCTTTCACCCCACAGAGGACCACAGAGTGGGGTTGGGTTGAGGATTGTCTCCCAGGCCATGGGTGTCAGCCAGAGGCCAGAGAAAACAGAGGCACTGAGCTCTGTCCCCAAGACACTGTATGTGTCCCTTCCTCCTGGTCTCTGGGTACCATGCACAGGAGGCTTCCACAGGAGACTCGCCAAAGTTGAACGTCTGAGCTTGGTGGTTGTGCAGATGATCAGCAATGGACTCTCAGATGCTCCCCACACTGCATAGCCCTCCTCCTGGGGATCTCTCCAAGTGGAGTTCTTCCAGCTTAGCTCTTCACCCAAAATCTCTCACACAACACCACAGCCATGACAAGCATTGGGACTGGAGCACCAGGTCTCGGGTGCTGAGCCTGACCCAAAGTGCTTAGTTCTCCTGCAGCTGGGCATAGGTGCTGAGCTCTGAGCTCCCCCACTGCCCTCTCCCTGCCAGGGACCGAAGTGTCCACCCAGAGATGGCATCCAAGCGGCTGAGCTGCCCTCCACCTTGCCTTTGTACAAGGCATTGGGACTTCAGCCAACTTTGGGGACAGGCAAAGCCAAGTCCCTGGCTCCTTTTAGAAACATCATCCAGGACTGTTCCCCGCCCTTCACAAGTTTTCCACATTTCTACTGAGTGTGCTCAGAGAGACTAGCCCTTTCCCTGCATCTCCACAAATGGCACAGCTTGTCCGTGCACACTTACCCACAACTTCACACTTACACACACTTGTGCCCCAGTGCACTTGAGGCTCATTCTCTGCCACCTGTGCGGAGCCAAGCATGCTTGCACTTCCCTGTGTGACCTCACCCCTCACACCTAGTCCCTCACACACATGATCCTTACACATGACCCACACCATTTACAGCTGTTCCTCACACAGTCATGCACACACTTCCCCGTAATCCACCCTCCCCTGTGCACACAGATGCCCCCGCTTCTGCTGGCTCACACACACACTCATGCACACAAACTGCTGGCACATGCTCACCTTACCATCTTCTCCCGCAGTCCTCGGATACCCTGACCTGTTGGTTTTTCTGTGTTGCAGTCCTTCCAGGAGCTTGACGACAGCAGCAGTGAGTCCAGCGACCTGCAGCTGGAGGGGCCCAGCTCCCTCCCTGTCGACCAGAGCCTCACCAACCCTCAGGCAGAAGACAGGCCCCTGGTGTTCTTTAACCTCAAGATCGACAATCAAAGTGGGTTCTCCTGGGTCACCCCATCCCTTTCTAACTTAGTCTCTGTGTTCCCAAGAGCAGAGCAGACAGCTGTCTGCAAAGCTTGGGGAAACAGCTCAGGGACACAAGTGCTTACCTGGTAAGCACAAGGTCCTGAGTTCAATCCCTGGTACAAAACAAAAACAAAAAAATGAGTGCAAGGCCTGTGGCCAGCCCCAACCCCTGGTGGTGACAGCTAGGTGGACAGCCTACCATCTCAGCCCTGGGCCCTGAGGTGTGTGGCTTGGTTAACAGGGACACCAGCTGAGAGCAGGGCCTGGTTGTTGGAGGGAGGCAGGCACCCTGTGCATTCACTTCTGACCAGACCTCCTCTTGGGCAGAGACCCCAGAGCAGAAACAGTGGCAGGCTCCTTGCCAAGACATCCTCCCCACAAGGCTGTGGCCCTGAGTACAGGACTGACCTGCAAGAGGGTGTGCAGGAAGCTGGCAGAACCAGGGCCATAGGAGTGATAACCCCTTACCCCTTGGCACTTGCCCTGGGCCTGCACTATCCCCCTGGAGCAAGAACCCTGCCCCTAGCTTGCAGTGTAAACTTGACATTGGGATGAGCCTCACCAGCCAGAAGCAGCAGGTATTTACATAGTACTGAGTGACTGGAAGCCGTAGCTAAGGGATGGGGCTAGGAAGAAGCAGTCTCCAGTCTCTGGGACAGGTGACAGCTGAGAGAGAAGACAGACAGGAGCGATGGTGCTCTATGGGTTTGGCAAACTCTAGGGTGGGTGGGGTAGAGGGCCACTGGACACCCTGCTGGTGGCACGCAAGACAGTCTGGCCTCTCCTTGTGACTCCAGCCTTGGAGTTGGGTCAGAGCTGTGCTTGGAGGCTGTTCCCAGGTTCTGCCTGCTGTCCTGTCCAAGGGCAGAAGTTCTAGAGGGTGATGGATCAGATGCCCCCTCCACAGCATCGCTGTGCCCCAGGCCTCACCGTGCCCTTCTCTCCTGCCCAGCTCAGAAGATTAGCCAGCTGGCGGCTGTGAACCGGGAGAGCAAGTTCCGCGTGCTCATCCAGCCAGAAGCCTTCAACAGCTTCTACACCAAGGCCGTCTCCCTGGAGACAGGGCTGCGGCACTTTCTTAGCTTCCTAAAGTCAATGAACCGCCCCATCTTGGTCTGCTATAACCTGTGGGGGCCCAGCATCCCCAACTTCTTCAGGGCCCTGGAGGACATTAACAGGCTCTGGGAGTTCCAGGAGGCCATCTCGGGCTTCCTCTCTGTGCTACCCCTCATCCGGGAGCAGGTTCCTGGAGCCAGGAGCTTCAGACTCAAGAGCCTGGCCAAGACCTACCTGGCGAGAAACATGAGCAGGAGCAGCGCCCTGGCTACCGTGCTGGCCATGCGCGACCTGTACCGCCTGCTTGAGATCTCACCCGGCCCGCAGCTGGCGCAGCATGTCTACTCCTTCAGCAGCCTGCAGTGCTTCTCTTCTCTGCAGCCCCTGGTGCAGGCAGCCGTCTTGTCCCAGGCAGAGGCCCGGCTCTTGGCCCTGCACAGCGTGAGCTTCCTGGAGCTGCTCACAGCACACCGTTGTGACCCCCTGCGTGGCCTGAAGAAGTACGACCACTACCTGAGCCCACAGGGCACCACCCCCTCTGCACAGCCCTCAGGCCACCTGCAAGCCCTGAGGACCTACCTGGACAGCCTGCTGAAGGAGCCAGCCTAAGCCTGGGCGGAAGGCGTCTCTGTCTTACTGGCCCCAAGCAGAGCTGAGGGATCCCTGAGCCAGGTCTTGAGTACCCAGCATTCCCAGCACCTGGTCCCCAGCACTCAGTAATCCTTCAGCCCTTAATCAATATCCTTTCTCTGGGACCAAATTCTCCTTTGCTGAAAACCCTACAGAGGAGGCCAGGCACCCACTCCCAGGGGTACCAAGGTACCCCATCAAGGAGCCCAAACTGGGGAGGCCCTGAGTGAGGCAAGGGTGACCTCTGGTCTCCAAGGCCCTATAACTCCTTCCCAGAGCCCACACATAAGGTACCCATGGTACTCAAAGTGCCTTCCACACCAAACTGCCCACCCACAAGTATGGGTTCTACCAGCCCCTGCCTCTACTTCCACTCTTTTTGTCCTTTATGGAGCATATTCATCCAAAAGGGGCATTTGGTACAGAAAGCATCAGAAACTGCGCCTTCCTTTCCCAGCCTGCACTAAAATGCCTTCCTTCTCCCGTCTTCTGCCTACAGATCCCTCCCAGCCCTGCCCCTACCCCCAGCCTCCCAAGCGATGTCCCAATGGATGGCCTGCAGCAGTGGCACCCTGGGATCCACAGGCTCTGCCTCAGGCCTCCAGAGCAGGCCCTCTGCTGGTGGGCAGGTGGTCTGTGCTTCTCCAGGCAACTTGATGCCCTCAGGTCTGAGAGCCTAGGGGAAGCGGCATGAACAGCAAAGAAAGCCGTAGCCTGTTCCTTCCCATTCTGGAACACCAGTGCCCATCTGTGAAAGGGGCTGATTGGCCTGTGAGTGCAGCGGTCCCCCACCGTGCCATCCCAGGTGGTTAGGCAAGGGCAGCAGATGAAAATGTTCTCATCCCAAAGCCAGGTAGGGTCACACATGCCTGTAATCCCAGCACTTGGGAGGCTGAGGCAGTGTGAGTTCAGGACCACACACACACACACACCTTAAAAGCCTGAGTATCCAGTCACAAACTCTGCTGAGACCAGCCCAGGCAGCCACTGAGCTGCCTCTTGCCTGGACCATTGCCTGCCCTGCACGGGCGTGCTTTGTGGAGTCCTTCAGGCCATGACTAAGCTGAGAGCCCCCCTATTCAGTGTCTCCAGAATTTCAACTAGGAAGTCCCAGGCTGGACTTGGGCTAGAGCCATTTCCAAAGGGAAAAGCCATATGCGAAAAAAGATACGGGCTTCACAAGTCCCCACAGAGGGAGAGAAGCGGGAGATCAGGGTGTTTGGGAGCTTGGCCACTGGCCACCTGTGGGTAGCCCTTCCCTTCTGCTGGGCCTTGAGAGTAACCAGTAGTGGAGGGGAGGCCCAGGGCAGGCACAGTCATTGGACAGAGCTCACATCACCACCCCAAAAACTCCCATGCAGCACTGGAATTTGGCCTTCATAGCCTTGTGGGTGTGGTCTGGAACATTAACTTCTTCATCCTTTATGTCTCCCTCTGTAAAATGGGTCAGTGTTGACCATTGGTCTTTCATAGGATCTTTGTGTGAACCAATCAGAAAATGTATGAAAATAACTTTAATATATGCAAAACCACACAAATATAAGATCTTTCACAGACAAGATGACAATGTGATGGCTTTATAAATGACTTAAAAAATCCAGGTCCTAACTAAAAAAAAAAAAAAGTTTTTTTTTCTTTTTTGTGAGTTTGAGGATAACAGAGCAAGGTCCTATCTGAGGGAAAGGGGCAGGTCATGGACTTGGCTTCCAGGGAATAAAGCTTGGGCTGGGGACAGAGCTGCTAGCTGTGGGGGTCCTGGGGTAAGCGGGCTGAGAGGAGCAGGGCATCCAGTGTGCTGTGGCAGAGCCCTGGGTGGCGGTGTGTTCCTAACACACCAGAGGAGACAGACCTGCAGCAGAGGCTAAGCTCTGTGATAGCCAGCACCCTCTCTGGGCACACTCATATCTATGAAGGTCACAAAAATCTGCTTGAACCCCAGCCTCAGGATTGCTCTTCCACCTCCAGGACGCCCCCTGCTGTCTGGCCAGGGGAGCTGAGCTCGGGCCGTTCCCAGACATAGACAGCAGGGGGCGCCGCAGCCCATCGACCTGGCTGAGGCTGGACTGGGCTGGCCAAGTGGATGGAACCGGGCTCTGCTGGGGAGCTTAGCCCTTGCCAGGCTCCCAAACTATGGGAAAGAACAAGGAGTGTGGATGAAGAACGGTTGTAAATGTTGCACTTTTCGCATTTATTTTAACATCTATTTGAAACCATGTAACCAACCCATCAGAATCTAGTTTCTGAATTCTCAGAATAATGCTTTGGTGGGATTTTTTTTTTTTAATTTATTTTTTGTACAGGAGATGCAAGCAAAGGGCTCCCTACCACTGAGCTGCACCCTCAACCCTTTTTGTTTTTCATTTTGAGACAAGATCTCTATAAATTGCACAGGAGAGACTCAAAAATATCGATCCTCCTGGAGCTGGTGAGATGGCTCAGTGGTCTAAAGCGCCTACTTAGAAAAAGCTTAGTAAAGCACAGGGACCGCGGTTCAATCCCCCAGCACCACATGCCAGCCAGCCCTGCCCTCTGGTGGGCTGAGCTGGCCACACACACACACACACACACACACACGTAAAAATAAAAAAAAAAAATATCGATCCTCCTGCCTTGCTCTTGCTCAACGGGGAGAGCGAGCCCTGGGGCAACAGGTGAGCAAAGCCCAGTTGGCACAATGGGGGGAAAACACGTGCCAGGCGCTGTGTTACCACCTGGCATTTGCCATCTCATTTAATCCTCCCAGCCACTAGGTGCAAGATCGCAACAGCTGAACCCAGAAACCTTCACACACACAGTGTGGGGCCAAGTTAAGCCTGGGCTAGGGACAGAAGGGACAGTGCCCTCCTTTGTTTTTATCTCAAATCCAAGGGTCAGCTCCAGGACCTGAATATAGCAGATGGAGTCTATGAAGAGAAGGATGGAGGGTTTCCACAGACTGCCCCACCCTCGCAACTAAACGAATAAAATAAACAACAGCAGGAAATTTGAACGACTGGAGTCACTGTTCCAACATGCATTTGCCACCAAGGGAAGTAAAAAGGTCTTTGTGCTTGGCTCCAGGAACTTCATAAACTCAGCTCAAAGGAATTCTCCCAGGGACCAGCTGCCTGGAATATGCTAAAGTCAGCTAATAAATATCCTAAATATCCCAAACTTGATAGCTCAGAACACAGATGCTAGCTAGCTAATCCTGACATCCGGAGTCACTCATCTGATTGTGGGACACTGTGGTCAGAGAACAGACTGGTGTGGAGGGTCTGGGGTGCAGCCGGAAGCTGAGAGGCTCGCCCCAGGCTAGTCCAACCTGGTCAATCGTGGGCCGAGAAGCTGTGGGAGGGGGTGGGTGAAGCTGGGCCTGTAGTGGCGCCCTCTAGAGGTGTGCGTGGTACTGAGAACTTGGACTTCAGAGGACCTGGGTTTGAATTCCAGCCCTTCTCTGTGACCTCGGACAAACCACATAACCTGTTATCGCATATGCAAATTGGGGGTGATAACACTCACAAATGCAGAGGATTAAACTCAATCACATATGTAAAGTTCTAAATTTAGCATATCAGCCGTGCAATAAAAATAGTAACTCCACATCCAACACCCTAGAGAAGAGACCGCTTTGCAGCACCATCCCTTCCTGCCCCTCCTCCTGCCTCCTTCCTCCTTTCCTTCCCTTCCTCTCCTCTCCAGATTCCAGTCTATTTAGGATCTAGGCAACTCTGTCTCCAACTACTTCTAGTAGTTGTCCTCACCTCTCCAAACCTCCTCGACTTCCTCCTGTAGCAGTTAGGGTCACCCCTCAGTTGCAGGCTAGATGGATTTATAGCTGGCCCCTCCTCTTTGTCACACCCACACACACACAAAGGTCACCTTCTCACAGCAAAGCAGACTTGTGGGTTGGATTGAAGGAGCCCTGGGAGGAGCAAATAAATACAGCTGGGCCTGGAGATAAGGCTCAGGGAGATGAGGACACTGGGAGGTGAGGCAGAAGCAGTCACAAATGCTGGGGCCTGGCAAAGCATGCACGGGACACTTCAAAGAGGACATCAAAGGGGCCCAGGCTAGCCTCCTGGGGGGCTCAGTGCTGAGGGCCTGTTCAGGCTGCATTCAGCAGGACTGCCTGAGGACTGAATACAACAGGCCCGAGGCAGGGGACATTTAGGTGGACAGTTCATCAGGGGAAACTGACTCAGATGGGAGAGGTTTTTTCTGACATCCATGGAAATACAGGTTCAGCCCTCAACCCCTGGCCTGTTCCCAAATGCTGTATAGTGCATCGTGCCTGGTTGTCCTCAAGCTGAGGCCACTAGAACAACCCTTGCCTGGGCAGGGAATTGGAGGTGTCTCTGCCACCTGCCACCTACCCCCGGGCTCTCCTAACTGCAGATCTCAGCCCAGCCTGCTGCTTGATTAGGGGTCCACATTCTGATCTATATAATCTAATTCAGGAGTGTAATCTGTCTCCGCCATACCTGGGCAGAGCTCAGCTTCCAGTGCCTGTGAGCCCGTGAGGGGGTACGGCGGACCCAAAGTGGGGGCACCTGTCTGATTCTACTGGAGAGGCCTTATCTGCCCGAGTCACAAGGGCCTCTGGCCAGCGAGCTGCCCCAAAGCCACCAAGTGGGTCATATCCCAGTCTGGACTGCCCCTGGAGGGCAAGTGTCATGGAAAAGCTCTGCCTGGGGCATTTTGCAGCCCCATCTCTCCTCTGATGAGGTGAAGGCAGAAGGATGGGAACCTCCAGTCCAGGGTACCAGTGACACTCTATGACTCGGGGACCTCCTGGCTGTCCTCACAGCTCCTCCAAGAAGATGCAGACCTCTGCTGCCAGAGCTGACTGCCAAGAGCATGGAGGGGGGCAGTGCTCAGGGGCCCCAGGAACTCCCAGGGATCTTCAGCCCCAGAGCTGCCTGGACTCTGCCCTGAATCACACCTTTGCCTTACTCCTTTCCTCCTTCCTGCTTCTCCTTTGTCTTAGCAGGATCTGCCTGGGTATTTCCTTCATCAACCACTTGCGTATGAAACCTGGATTCATCTCAACTTCTGAGAGCCCATTTCTCAACTGATGCTTAAATTTTGATGCAAGATCTTGCTAAGTTTCTAGGTTGCCCAGGCTGGGTTTGAACATGAGATCCTCCTGCCTCAGCCTCCCAGAGTGCTGGAATTACAAGTGTATACCACTGTGCTTGGCTCTCCAGGAGCTTTAAAGCCAGAGGTAGATGGGAAGGAGGAGGAAGAGGCCCCCTGGCTCTTCTCTAGGGGTCACTTGGGTGCAGGAGTCTTTTCATCAGGGTTTATTGGTGATAGGGGCCCTCTCCAGCTCATCTGATGCACCAAGCAATGGAGAACAGAGGGAGGCAAGGCTGGAGGGACAGCCTCAGTGTCCTTCCTTGCTCAATGCCCCAAGGGCCCAAGCAACTCACAGACCAGATTTCAGTCCTCCTGTGGGAAGAGCTTCAGATATTGTTGGAGGCAGGAGGC